CAATCACGGCAGCACTTCTGCTCTGTGGTCCAGCCACCGCCGTGGCGGGGGGCAGGGGTACACACATCAAGGAAATCGTGCCGCTCCCACGCGGAATGGACAAAGCACAGGATGTTCGCAGCAAAGTTTACCTCTCGGCAACTGGAAGATTGCTTTGTCGACAGCAACTGGACTGCTGGTCAGCTATGTTTCCAGCATGAATATTGAGGGGAAAGGCTATTTATTGCTGCATCTCAAGTCCAAAGATGAAATACAAAAGTGAATTAAAATTTCTGTGGTAGCTGCTTAATGAGCAAGGCTGATAATCAAAGGTTGGGTTGTCGCTTTTCTGTTGCATTTAAACAGCACAGAAGTCATCTGCAATCCTCCAGTACAACTGCAAACAACAACTTCAAAGAGCAATGGCATCTTTTTTTTTTTTTTTCCTTCTCCCTGGCTAGAATCGCTATATGCCTGTGTACGCTTTGTAGTATTTTTTTCTGTCATGACAATTTAATTTTTTGTTTGCTTTTTTAAGGGAGGAAAAAAAAACCCTTTTGCTTTAATGATATTCGCCATCATGAACTTAAAAGTGGCTTACAGAAACGGAGTCTGGCATTTTCTGTTTGCACCAGTCAGTCGCTAGTGATTGATCTCAGAAGCCAGGCTTCATTTTCTGAGCAAAGTAAGCTGCAGTTGGCAAAACATGATTAAAGTGAGTGGAGCTTTATCTGATGTGGCTGTTGCCACTCATTTCAGTGTAACGTCTTTCTTTTCAACTACAGAGGACCTGCAGAACACGGAACAAAAAGTACGCATCAGTTTATAATGCACTCTTCTAAAAGTTTAAGTGTTCCTAATAGGCCATCAAACTGCTAGGAAACCAGCATGCGCTGGGTACCTTGGCATGTAGCATAAACTCCTAATATAGCTGTTGTAGCATATGTGCCATCATCCTTACACAGAGGTCTACCACAAGAGAAGCTGCTAGCTGGACTGACGCTACTGTTAAATCCATCATGCAAAAATTGCTGCCAGCGATCATGAACTAAATATATTAAAAAATCGAGGCCTCTTGATTTTGCTTCCTGATTTCTGAGCCTTCAGGGTGTAGAACGTCCGTTGTGGCTTTTCCCTCTAAGAGTATGAAGCCTGAAAACATCTGAGGTCTTGACACAAACAAGCCGTGCCAGCCCTCCTCCTTCTGCTCGCTGGGAAGGGCTGGCGTTGCTCCGCGTTACTTCCCAACAGACAGAAGAGTTCCTTTTCCTCTCATTTATGAGGAAGGGGAGACGGTGAGAGAAGGAAGAGTAGGCGAAATTACATTTTGAAGAGGTGCAAATATAAAACTGACAGGCTTGGAGACAACACATTTCATTTGAATGGCTATTTGCAGAGCAGCTCCTCTGCGAGATAACTAATGGCATGTGAAAAGGTCCTGTGCACAGAAAACAGTCTGTCATGTTAAAATAAAGAGCTCTGAAGCCTGTGAAGTCTGGCACAGCTGTAAAAATAAGTCTCACTTGGGAGGAGAGTCTGGGAGCACCATGGCTCCCGATTCTTTTCAAAGACAATGCCCGGTGCCGCAGCAAGGAACGCGGAGGCTACTGTGGCTCCTACAGATCTCCACCAAAACCTTAATTTAAATTACTGTTGAAGATTAAAGGCTAGCGTAAGCCTACACTCCCTTGCAACTGCATTAATTATTAAGGTCGCATGCAGAGCTCTGTAATCGGCTCCTGTCTGTGAGCACAGCGCTGAGTTTATAGGTTAGGGTGGCGGCAGAAGATGACGATGATTACCTGTGATTTCTGGGTTTGCTGGTTTTGGGGGAGAGGTGTCTCCTAAAATTGGTAAGCGGTGTTCGGAAAAAGCAGGGTGCCCTTCCCGTAGCAGAGGCCGGGGGGGGCGGGGGGGAGGCAGCCTCGCTGCAGCGGAAGCAAGGACGCAGCGCTGAGCTCCCCTGCCCGCTGCAGCCCGAAATCAAACGGTGACACTGCCAGGGAGTGAAGACAAGGCAACCCCACACCCCCCAAATCAAAAAATACCCTTTCCCCCTATCCCTGGCAAAAAAAAAAAAAACAAAACAAACAAAAAAAAACCAAACCCCCCCCCAAAACCCCTACTTCTGCTCTGCGTAAGCATTAGACATTAGCATTAGCATTAGGTAGGTTTTACACCACTGTAACGTTGTCTTGCTTTCATTTGGTTAATTTTACTGGGAAGTTCTGTCCATTGCACCAGCCAGAAACCAGACAGCCCCTGTGAGGGACCCGTCTTTCATTCTTTACTACACGTACAAAGTGATTCGTAAACAGCTTTACAAAACGGGCCCACCAACACATTCGAAGAGCGCCTAAAAGTGCAGGTCTGAAGCCAAAGCCAGCAGAGCTGCTGCAGCCCGCTGCGTGTCCTGGGTCTGCAGCACGTCTCTCTCCAGTGACCCGCCGCCAGCAAAGCCCACGCAAGGTGCACGACGGACGTAGAGAGCGCAGGCGTTACCCTGCGGTAAGATTTTTTCTGCCTCGGAACCCTAAGCCTGCTCCCAAGCTGACTCAGTTCATCTCAACTGGGGCCAAGCACAGCAGAGTGTTTAAATCCTGGTGAAAACTTGGAAAACGCACCCCGACGTACCGATCCGGGGAAGAGTGGGACAGAAAATTATTCCAAGAGGTGGGAAGGCAAGAGAGGGAGTGGACGAGGTGCCCCCGCCTGGGAGACATGATGGCCTCAAGGCAGAGTCCATCTTCCTGGAACGAGGAAAGCAGAAAGTACTGTAGTCATTCCGGCATTGTTTAAATCTGAAAACTGAAGACAGCGGTGGAGAGATCGGCACCGGCCACTTCCCCAGAGCCTGGCCGGGGAAGGAGACAGCAGCAGCAGGCCCCTCAGCAGCGGATATCATGACGACGACACCACCATTAAATTGTCAATCAAGTTTAATGCATCATAAAGAAGTAAAACTACATTGGCATATTTAAGACAAACACTTTTTTTTTGTTGTTTCTATGCACACTATCCACTGGACAGTCCCCTTTTCAAAATAACTACTTTTAATAGTCCAAGACACTTCGTCAGAAATTCTCCACGTGTTCAACCTTCCACGCTTTTCCTTTTTTTCTTGTCCGAGAAGGAAAAAAAATCATCAAACCTGAAAACATTTACATTGCAAGCCATGTTAGAATGCATAATTGGCATACAATAACCAATGTATAACAATTGTGTTTTACTTAGTTCACTTTGTTCATCAATAAAAGAATATAAAAATCTTGTTCAACCGAGTGTTGTGTATTAAAATAGATTTGTATAGTACTGCACAGTTTCTCCCGGAGTTGTGAAAATGGTTGAAGGGACCATGTGCTGCCTAGTGATGGGCGACGGAAAAAGCCAGTCCCTCGTGTGTTTTTTTTGATTTAAAAAAAAAAAGGTATTCGGCACCATGTGATATGCTGATGCGAGAGACTAGCCTTGCGTCGTGCTCTGGTGGCTTCTTGCTTTCCTTAAGTACCTGTTGTGCTAGTTGACGGAGAACTCATGAACGACAGAGACGATGGCATCTGGTGTGTGTGTGACGTTGAGAAAAAACGGGGTGCCCATCACTACCTTCCCGGGCGGGCCGGCCGCAGGGTGACGGGGGGCCTGTGGCCTACGGGGGGGCCAGGCGGACCCTTGCAGTATCAGGAAGACTAGCTAGTGAAACAAGCAGGTGCACTGGGATTTTCTCAGGCTAATGCTAAACACTTCCCAAATGTGCTAAAATCCAACGAAATCTTAAAAAGGAATCAAGTTTCCAAAAAAACCCCAACAAACGCTTAACATTTTCCACGGCCTGTCCCTCCCCCAGAACTCTTGATATTATCCAGTATGAGAAACAACCCCTTGAGGCAGGGTGTTTGGTTTTTTTTTTTTTCCTGTACCATTTCAGCAGATATTTCTGCAAGCAAAACCGAAAAAGAATAATAATAAAAAAAAAATTCACGTTACGTATTTTTAACAATAAAAATGCAGTACAAAAATGTAAAGTTATCTTTTTGGCATATTATCTGTACTGGCAAGAAACAAAAAACAGAATACTTATTTGCTTTTTTTGTTTAAAAAAAATATTCCAAAATTAACAAAAAAGAATCCCCCCCCAAATAATCTCTTTAAAAAATGAAACCCAACCTGCTAAAGATAACCACTATTATGGTTTATGCTAAATCTCACACAAAAACTCCATGAGAAAAATACACCAATAGCAAAATAAGTAAAAAGGACCTGCAAAAAAGTAAGGAGTTTTACAGTCATACGTTTTTAAATACTTCGGAACGCATATACAGAAGCATCAGCATGAAAATACTTCAATATTTTACTAGAAATGCTAACTTCATACAGTTTCTTTATTTAAATATCTGCAATTCTCAACTCTAATAATACTGAAAAAAAACGATCTTTTGTTTCGAAGGCTCTGTGAGTGTCCGTGATGCCATTCTGGTCAAAACGGCCCCATCTCCAGGTCACCTGAATCAACGGCGCCAACTTTGTTCCTCTGGTAAGAATCCATGTCGAGTCCTAAGTAGTTCAGTTTCTGGTTATCATCGCACCGATTTCCCTCCCACACATAGCTGTCAGCCCAACTACTTCTCTACTAGCTCACTAACTCTTTGCATTGAAAATTTTCCCCTTAAAGCAGAACTGGAACCTGTCTGCTGCCCACAAAAGGATATCCTGCTTCCTATCGGCCATACTTCTCCTGTTCATCCTCAGTCATAAATACATTAAGGCCAACATAACACAAAAAAAAATCTCATAAGCACTGAAGGTCTCGGCAAAAACAAAACCGCAGCACAACCCACTCCGCGGGAACCTGCTGCCACAGTGACCTACAGACTGGACTGATTGCAAGTTTCTACGCGTATCAAAACTGAGATCGCTCCTTCTCTCCTTTGTTTCAGTTTAATCTCTCCTCTGCGCTTGTGTATAAAGTTTTTTTCCCCCCCTCCTTCCTTCGCTCCCTCGCAGCCGGCTCTGTCAGTTGTTACCCTGTGATTGCTGCAAGGCTTTGTGCATGGCAGCCGAGGCAGAGGAGGGTTTGATCCAGGGGACAGTTAGCAGGGAGGAGGTGGTGGTGGTCGTCATGGTAACCTGAATCATCTGCTCGTTTTGTATCAGTCTAATGAGGGTTTTGAGACGTTCCAGTGATGACTGAGTCCCTTTCTGCTGGGCCAACAGACTGGTTTTTAGCTCTAAGCATTTCTGTCAAATAAAGAGAAGGGGAGAGAGAAGGGAAGACTGAGAATACATTCAAATTGGTGTCAAACATCTCTCCAAACATCCTTTTGTGTCTTGAGTGCATGTCCTGCTCAAACGAAGTATATTCTCCTTGGGGGATAGCAAAACCACAGCTTAACGAACGGAGTAATCACCAGCGCCGCACACGCCGCGGCAGCTAAGGTAACTATATTCATCCCCGTCCAAATGCGTTCAGAGGATGTTTCCGATCTCATCCTGTAGACAGCCCGGCAGAAATGCCTCCCGCCCTCCAAAGAGATTACCGGCACGGGACTGTAATAGCTCTATTACTGCAAAGTACTGAAGCCACCAGTGAGGTGTCGAAATCTTACCAAATGGCATTGGTAAACACATGAGGGATAAACCTCACCGTGATGCTTTTTGTACATGCCACACGTTTTAGGCAGTCAGTACTGTGAAGATAAGTTGATCTCTCTAAATATGATGTCAACATTTTTCTGACAGAAAACTTGATCTAACACACTATGGTTATACCACTGGAGTCAAAAGAAAGCCTTTTTCCTATGGGGTGGCCAAACTGCACCCCACAATCACTTGAAACGTTTCATACAAACCTACATGAAAATGAGCATGACAGCAGGAGCCGAACGAAAGCATCCCAAACCTCCCTCTTCTCCAGGAAGAGATAAGGAGGAGTCGGTAATTCTCCTTTCCTTCCCCAACCCCATACTGCTGCAGCTAACATCCCACCCTTTACACTATCAACTGGCCGGGGAGGGACTATGTGAGAGACCAAAACCCTGAGCCTGTCTGCTAGATGGAAGGGAGCGGTGGCCTCTCCAGTATCTGAAACTTCCTATTTTCTTGCTCCCAGTGGGCCCAGGGGTCTGGCAAAACTGGTTACTTGTCTGCAGGTTGCTCCTCTTTGGCTATGGTCTGGACTACCCAGGGTAGGGAGGTAGTCTCCAGTCGAGGTGAAGGGAGAAATGCTCACTCGAAAGCCAAGTTGTTTGAAGAGCAGCTGCGTGGAGCTGGTCAGAGGTTGGTTTAGACAGGTGAAATCTCAGGTGAAGGATAAATCACATTCTGCTTTTCCAAATAATACCATTCCACCCGTGGTGTATATAAGAGTTTTCTCTTTAATGTAAATCTCTGTTAAGGCAGATGTCAGAAATGGAATTGCTCTGTGCTGGAACACTTCTAATTGCTTTTCTCCTTTCAAGTGGATATATCTCCAACAAATATAATCCTGAGCTGATATTACCATTTAAATAAGACAGTGTTGCCCACTGAAAGAACCTGATTCTGCTTAGGTAGAAATCTTACTGATTTTGGCAGCCCTGACATACACCTGATAGCTGACTGCATCCCCAAATGCTCTTCTTTTTCCAAACACCTTATCCCACTGCAGTCTCCTACCTACTGAAGATATTCTGTACCCCAGAGTCACTTCTTCATACAGCCATGTGTTTCCATTAGTGCTGATAGTGGGAATCCACCCATTAGTGCCAATGGTGTGGAATATTCCACACTTACATGGAATATTCCCCACTGTGATACCTTTCAATAAGTTATTGCTTTTCCTTCCACTCTTTTAAATATGATAAATATTTTAACGTGCCTCCTCTGGTTAACTGTAGTGGTAAAACAACTAGTGACCAGTTACTCCTGCAGCTGCCACTTTGATTTTTCCAAGGTAAGGAAGTTTCATGTATTTATCAAGACTGCCATGCCAGCTACCCCTTAAGAGTGGGCCTGAGGTAAGGTAGCCCCAAATAAATTCCTTCACCCATGAAGGATGGGAATTATGGTTTTGAACTAAGCACACTCATTATGCTAGAGACTGGTCCTCATAGCACAGTATGTGTGGAAAACATCTCCAGCCAACATTTAGCTTTGAAATGAGTTCATGGGGAAAAGGACTGTGAATCCATTTCCACTCATGAGGAAGTTACAACGTTAAGCCTCTAAGACAAATAAAGATGGTTATTTCTACCTAATCTCAAGAGTTTTGAGCTAATGGACAAGCAGCTACCACTGGAGGACATGCTTTTGAGAATGGAAGTGCCTTAAAGTCACTAGACAGATGAGAGCTGTGTACGGCACTACCAGGAAGGCAGGCACAGGTACGTTGGGGGGGTTTTGCGTGCAACAGGAATTCAGTCACTGGTGACTTCTCCTCCTCAGCCGGCCAAAGCAGCTTGCTTTTGTGCATAAAGAGAATCCACAGGTTTCTCCTCAGAGAGAAACACACTCACACTTGAACATCTGTAGCTTGGGAGCATAAATCATTTTGCAGACACAAAATACCATGTTTTCAAGCATATATTCTTTATAAGCATCTCTGCAGGAGACTCTATGTCCCCAATCAGGTATCCTACCTTCACTGCATTGTTGAGAAGTCGATCTTTTTCTTCTAACTGTCTATGCTCACTCTTCAGCTCACTGCCTCTCTTTAATAACTTTCGCTTCTCTTCTTCTTTAACTGCGGAACAGTAAGATTAAAGATATAGACGTTAAGAAAAGGACATACGGCAAAACTGCGCGCTTGAGAACAGAAAGCAGAAGCATGTATTTTGAATGGTGAGTTTCAGGTCTCATTAGTCTTTTGTCAGCAGGTACAGCTAAATAAATCTGGAGTTTCTGCTTGCATGCATGTGTCTACATCAATGGCTAGAACACAGGACAACCCAAAAGCTATAGTGCACCTTTAAGATGAATTAAAATTAATCCTGGACCACACGTGGCCTTGGAGGTCTCCAAGAAAGAGGTGAATGGTATTTAAGAACAGGTCTAGGTCTGCCAACCTGGAATGGCAGTAGTTCAGCGACCCCAGCTGAAAAGCACAATCATAACTACTAGACCTCTGCAAAGCTCCTTACAAATACTATCTAATGCCCCCAACAGCCCATTGTAAGAGTGCAACAAGGAATTAAAAAAGAGTAATGGTCAAAGCACAGATATCATACGACATCTGATGCTAATGATTGCAACACCAAATAATACCAAAAAAACTGGAGCTGATATTACTGTAGTACCTTGAGACACTAGCCCGGCATCGTGCTACATACCCAATTACATGGCTCTGCCTAGCCTGACTGTGTCTCTGCCTCCCAGCTTGACACAATTCTGCCTCAAAACCCTGTTTTCAGCCCTGTTCTCAGGAAGGCACCACTTTGATGATAGTCTCCTCCACAGAGTGACATTCCCAAGAGATCAATCTCAGCTTTCTTGAAGAGAGAAGATAGCGAAGGAGCAGACCGAGGGGAAGGGTAGAGGAAGTGACCTCTTGTTCCCAGCCACAGGCCCTTATGGCCCTTTGCTTAATGGTGTCATGATACCTGGTAGCGTTACAACATGGCTTTAGTATTAGTGCTATGAAGGACTCAAATGGCATCGCCCATCACGAGCAGAGAATCCCTTGTCATTAGCTGTGTTTAGTCCCTACCTGTTTTGTGAGTAACGTAGGAGTGCACAATAGCCAGAGTTCCAGTCCATGGCACGTTGTCATCTTTCTTTAACACCTATAAGCCCAGGAAACAATAAAAAGTTAGGACTCCACAAAAACAGACATTAATGTTTTTCTTCCTCCAGCCTCACCGTTCTGCGGGACCAGATCTAAGGTCCTTGTCTCAGAATTCGCAAGCTGAAAAGTAATGAGACAACAATTTGAGTAGCAATCTCCGCTGGGGCTTACTCCTTTACACATGACTATAAACAGCACTGCCAAACAGTGCTAAAGGGGGGCTACAACTCCTCTGTCTCTTGTTGCCGTGGCTGGAAGGCATTTTTCAGCCCCTGACAAGCAGACCTCCACACTGTCAGGAGCGCTGTCTTCTCAGCGTGGGAGAAGTTGCTGGTCCATATGAAAACACGATTGCACAGATCTAATCCTGGGCTGCTCTGCTCTCTGCAACTGCATGCTAGAATTTCCCCTTGACATTTTCAAGGGAACATAACAGTGATCTCGAATGCTGAATATAAAGAACTCCAAGGCACAAAACCTAAGCCTCCACTTTACAATTTAGTGACACTGTACTGTTTTAGTAATTGTTTTCCAGTTCATGCAATCAACATTATTCACAGCAACAACACAAACTAGCATTTCTGACATGGCTATGATCAATAGCTATGTGTAAGAAACATGATTTTCAGAAAAGGAAGTGTTTTCCTTACAGCTTTCAGATCCACTGGTGAACAGTGTCTCCTTCTGACACCATCTCCCTCATGTATATGATTTACATTACTTGTCTGGCAACCCTACATGCTTGGTGGCTTTGTTGGAAAGAAGGGAAAGGAAGGAAATGAAGAGACATTTTAAAAGGACAGATCTCAGCAGATGTGATTACAAGGTGTCATGGTTTAACCCCAGCTGGCAACTAAGCATCACACAGCCGCTTGCTCACTCCCCCGCAGCAGGATGGGGGAAGGACAATTGGAAGGGTCAAAGTGAGAAAACTC